CCTGATCTAATTTTTCCCCACAGAACTTTTCACCTTGTAACAAATTCTACAATTTACTGATTATATTCCATCTCCACCCATTAGAATGTAAGCTCTACAAAGGAAAGAATATCCTGTTCAGCAACGTATCTTCAGCATCTAGAACAGTTTCTGGCACCTGATAGGTGCTTAACAAACATCTGAGGGAGGGAAGGAGGGAGGGAAGGAGGGAGGGAGGGAAGGAGGAAAGAAATTTATGCAAGTTACAAGAGGGGTTAGATAAAATCGAAATCACAGTTTAGCAAGATAGATTTTTAAAATAGAGGAAAGGCACATATAAACAGTATTAGGAATGAAAAGGGGACTAAATACAGAGTTTAAAACTTCATAACAATGATGATGGTAATTTAAATATTAATATTTAGTAGGGGCTTACATATGCCAGCTGCTGTTCTGCACATCTTACATGCTTATTCAATCTTTATCCAACCATAAGTTAGTCATGATGATTGTCTCCATTTTACATATAAGAAAACTAAGACACAGGGTCACATACCCAGTGATTCCTGGATTCAGGGTTCAAAACTATGTCCACTGTCTCCAGAACTTACACTCTTAAATGCATTATTCTGTTTTTGTATAGAGAATTCTATGAACATCTTGATGGTGATATGTACAACTTGGACAAAAAAGACATTTTCCAGAAAAACAGGGTATAGAAAGCCTGTACCATTAGAGAAACTAAATCAGAAATCAAAAATCTACGAAAAAACATAAGAGCAAGGCAAACATTCATAGGCAAATTCTATAGAATCATTATGATGCCCAACTTATTCATACTATTTCAAAGAATAGAAAAAAGGAAAAGTTGCCAAACTCTTAAGATTATTTCGTATTATATGGTACTAAAATTGAACCAGGACAATAGAAGACAGAAAAAAAAACCCATAGGCCGTTCTTACTGGTGATCACTGATGCAAATATTTTATTAAAATATTAGCAAACCCAATGGAACAATTTATTTTTAAAAATCACAATCAAAGAGACTTTATTCCATAAATGCAAGGATGTTTTAACAATAGAAAATGTTAAATGTAATTTATTTATTGAAATTCGGTCCCAGATAATTCTTTGTTATGAGGGTTTTCCTTGTGCATTACACAATTGTTTTTCTTTTTTCCCCAGCTTTATTGAAGCACAATTGACTAACAAAAATTGTATATATTTATGGTATATATTTTGATATACATAAATACTGTGAAAAGATTACCACACCCAATCTAATATGTCAGTCACATCACATAACTACCTTTGTGTGTATGTGTGGTTGGGAACAATTAAGATCTACTCTCAGCAAATTTCTAGCATACAATATAGTAACGCTAAATATAGTCACCATGCTGTACATTAGATCTCCAGAATTTATTCATCCTGAATAACGGAAACTTTGTACCCTTTAGCCCACATCTCCCCATTTCCCCCACTCCCCAGCCCATGGAAACCACCATTTTATTCTCTGTTTCTACCAGTTCAACTATTTTAGACTCCTCATTGTCTTAGTCTGTTTAGGCTGCTATAACAAAACACCATAGACTGGGTACTTTATAAGCAACAGAAATTTATTTCTCATAGTTCTGGAAGGCTGGGAACTCCAAGATTAAGACCCCAGCAGATTCAGTGTCTGGTAAGAGCCCATTTCCTGGTTTCTAGATGATGATGTCTTCTTGCTGTGTCTTTCAGGACAGTTCTTTGGGTGGTCTGGGACCAACTCAGTTCCTCCCATTTTCTTGCTTGCTGTTCTCAAGCATAAGTATAGAACATGCTGGGAATAAAACATCCTGAGTTAAGAAGGAACTGACTGGAACACCTCAGGCTCTGTTCCAGACCCTCCTAGAAACAGGATGTCCTTCAACACTTTAGCGCAGTGACACTTGGGTATAAAACTCAGAGTGAGCTGCTTTCTGGGTTCTCTCAGCTGATGTGCAAGTGGACATGTGCAGACGAGACTCTATCTGTTCCAGGAAACTTTTCTGAGCCTTGGGGAACTGGCTTTCACTGAATGCTAGGCTTCTGTTGTCCTTTGCTGCCTATTAAATAATAAATCCACTTCATGAAACTTGTTTTGTGTATGAATGCTCTGTCTCACCAGACTCGGGCAAGTAACCAGTGCACGGTAAATTTGCTTTACAGTCCTTACTTGGTGAAAGGAACTAGCTAATGCACTGAGTCTCTCTTATAAGGTTGAAGACATCATGTCTTTTTACCACTAAGTACTTTAGTGAATACTTCCTAAGAACAAAGACACTTTTTATATAATCACAGTAAATGTATCAAAGTTGAGAAATTTAACTCTGATCTAAGAGTATTAGCTAATCTACAGTTTATACTCAGTTTCATCAATTATCTCGACAATGTCCTTTATAGCTATTTCTCTTCCTGTTCAGATTCTAAGCCAAGGTTCTTCATTACATCTACTCATCTTAACCCATTTATGCCCAGTGTTCCATTACTGGAATGCTAAGCATGTGGGAGTTATTTACATCCTACTGCTCAAGGTCATCGCCAATGTCTGAATGCAAAAAATCAAAAACTTGCAACCTCAGGCATAAATGGGTTAACTCCCTAGTCTTTTTCAATCTTGATAGTTTTGCCTTCACATTTGTTTGTTTGAGGTTTCCTCATGATGAGATTTAGGTTATGTGTTTTTGACAGTAATATCACAGAAATGATGTGTCCTTCTCAGTATATATATTAAGAGGTACGTGACATCAGTTTGTCATAATATTGGTGAAGTTTACTTTGATCACTTGGTTAAAGTGGTACCCAACAGGTCTCTCTCTTATAAAGGTACTTTTTTGTCATTAATAAATAATTTGGGGGACATACGTTGTAACTAAATAGCCTGCTTCCCATCAAATTTTTGCTCACTGTTTCACCTCAGTGATGATTTTCTAACTCCATTATTCCTTGTATATACATCAGTTGGCATCATACTGAGAAAAAAAAAAGGCTTGCTCTTTGACTCCATTTATTTATCAGTAGGGATTTGGTGATTCTTATTTTATTCTATGGGCTATATATTTATTTTAACGTCTGAATTGTCCCAGATTTGGCTAGAGGGAGTTCCTGCAAGCTAGTCTCTACATATAAGAGAAATTCTTATCTCAATATATTATTCCCCTGTCACCAACCAGACTTCTGGGATTCACTCTCCTAGTGTCAAATATTCTTTTTTTCAGAGAATGCATCATGAGTTTATATTAATAATGTAAACATAATTAGTAAAGTAAATCTTCTGAAAAAAACCTGAATTATTTTGGGGTAATATTCTATTTTGAGATCAACTTTATTAATATGGATATCAAGAGATAAATTTAGAAGAAAAATATTACCATTTAATGTACATGATTATGATAGATACGGTAATCCAAAGTAAGTTTGATAATCAATCCAGAGTTTATAAAAGACAAAGTTTTCATCCTTGTCATTCAAGTTCACTTTTATACCTAAAGCTGCAAAAAGTATTCAAGTTGAAAAAAGGATACAATATCAAGAAATCTGACTGATAGACACTTATCCAGAAATAAAGAGGTTATGGAAGGCTATTTCTACAGCTATTTCTCAACTTACATACAAATAACCACTGTCAATTGTTCATTTAAAATTCCAAACTCTATCCAATATTCCACAGAGATATTACAAATAAAAACAGAAAACGCTGCCACAGAGGACCTTGAGGATGATACTGTTAACCCCTTTATTTTTGTTTTAAAAAAGCAACATGGGCCCAGAGAGGCGAACTGCTACAGAAACAGTGGAAAATCTAAAATTTGAATATAGTTTTCAGTGTGTCAAGACAAGGGCTATTTTAATCATGTCATTTACAATGGTGAGATTGACAAATCAGTCCACAAAAAGCAGCTATTTAGCCAACAGTGTGGCTGAAACATTTAGCAATGAACAACAGTATTGCAGCAATCATTCTTAAAGTAATAAAAGTTATTATGTTGAAAAGTTTTTTTAATGATGAATTTGAGGCTAGGTTAATTAAAAGATGATTGTAAGGTCCATCAATATTTGTTAGGATTACGAGCAGAAATTTATAGGGTCTTTAGAGGCTTGTGGCGCTGGCTCTTTAATGTGAATAATTTTACAACAACTTAGGACTTTCCTTTTCCACGACAGGCGTGGACCATCAATATGATTCAGACTTATGTGGCCTAATTAAGGTTGTTTGTGGCCTCTCCATTAACTGCCAACACTTTACGTGTAAATTTCAGATTTGTAAATCTACCCTGAGAATACAACAAGAAACATTTTCTGTATTAGAGATGATGTAATACTCGAAGCTGCTAAATTTTATTTTCTTGAACTAGAGTATTTTATAATGTAATTCTATATCTTCCCTTCATTTTATTTGACAAAAATCTCTTCAATTTTTTAAGGATGTCCTCTTTAAAACTAAATTTAAGGAGCTGGGTTTACATGTAGAAATCATCCATGACACTCAGGCTTCCTCCATTATTACCTGTTTGGTGTGACCAATTCCTGGATCTCCTGTGACCTGAGGCCTTTTCCTTTACTCTTTCCTATCTTCCTCCTCTAACCAGATTTGAGGCTGAAAACAGGAGAATCGACCCTCCTGACACTACGCTCAGGTTTCTCCTAGTAAAACAGGCAGCTCTACCTCAAGCAGGAAGTGTATTCTCATATATAAATTTCAAGGATTGTCTTACAGTTAACACAAAGAAGCTATTATTTAGGTGCTTTAAATCTTCATGTGAATGGGAAGAGTTCCCATATATAGTTACCACTGGATGAAATACATTTCATAAAGGCAATATAGAGAAGAGAGAGAAAATGTTTTATTCACTTTAAAGTTGAAAACACAAAATGATCCAGAAAGCTTTTTCAGCAGTTATAGGGTGTTATTTTTCAAAACCTATTAAAGTTAATTACTTTTTTAATATTAGAATTGTCCATGATAACTAATAAAATGGGTAAAGCAGCACTGTACATACCCTGAGTAGCTGTTGGAGGTAGTTTGAGGGTATTGTCTAACTTCTCCCAAAGGTAAGTTGGTCGAGGAATGCCTTCCTCTGAGCTACAGAGCAGGATGACATCGCTGCCAATATCCTGGGATCCTTGGATTTGGCAGTGTGGGGCAGAAGGGGGAACTATAACAGGAAGAGTAAGCAATAGAGTACACATTTTACTGTGAGCCAAGTGATGACGGAGGAGACATCAACATTCAGTACACTGGACCCTTAGATTACATTGTTTTGGGAACATATACCAGGAGACAGCCTCACACCTGAACCCAGAGGAGTCATGTACCAATTCACGAGGCTTAGGCACAGGAGCAGACCTGCAGCTTTGGTAAGCAGAGGGCAAATGTGCACAAAGGGGCTTCACCTTTTGATTATATTTTCAAGGTATCTTAAGATCTTCTTTTCACTCTGCTTCCTCTGAAGAATTCTTAAGATCCATTGTATCAACATGTTGCTTTTAAAAACATTGCTGAAAGAGGCCACTTTTAGAGATTTCAGGGAAAAGCAACCCTCATCCTGCCAACTATCCTCTGGCAAAGACCACTTTAACAAGGTCCTGCGTTACTTTACAGACAAACCGGACAGACCAACTTTATACCAAATTCTGCTTTATGGTGGGGAAAGTGAAACTAAGGTTCAAGTAAAAGCAGAGTTGATAATAATGTAGTGGACATTTCACAACCATTAAGACTGGACACAAAAAACATGGAACAAAAATTACCAAAAAGAACACTAAAGGAAGAAGGTGGTAAAAACCAAAACAAAACAAAACCATAAACTAAGCCCATGGCTTGAAGTTTCATGCAGGGGAATGCAGACGGTAGAGTTTAAATCCAATTTATGATTTATCTGTAATGCTAATGACTTTTCAGTAAATATGTACACCCTTTCCAAAATGAATAAATGAATGAATGAAAAAATGAATGCAGAGTATACATAGGAATCAGAAAAAAAAAAAAGACTGGGTAGGGGAAGAGAACAATAAAAGGGTGTGGTTAGGAAGAGTAAAAATCTTAGCAAATCCTAGTATCTACTGCGGTGGGGCAAACTAATCTTTGATTGCCTTTGTCATTGTCACTGTGATGCCAGGAACAGAAATCCAAAATAATTCTTTGGAGGTAGCATTAATTATAAAATAAATTAAGGACTTTCTTTTATCTTCTTTTTAAAAATGATGCTGAGAAGTTAAGTCTGGACAAATGAAAAAAGAAATAATGTTAGATAATATAGGAAGTCAGTCACCTAACTTATAGGTATAAGTATCCGAATATTTAATTCCATTAGTACACTATACTCAGTACTCAAGAGTATTTTAGAATCTATACCATTTTTAATATAATACAATGAATATGATTTTGAGAATAGAAATCCCCGACTTGGTCATTAGTTTTCTTATTCTGTTTGAAGGCTGGGAGAAAAAGGCACCAAAAGCAGAGGGAAAATGACAAGAATTCCCAACCCCTGTATTCTTAAGTGACTCAACAACAATGAAGGAAAAAGAAAGGGTGGGTGGAGTTTGACAAGGACTACAGCAGTAGATTCTGAGACTTGAGTAGGATGGAGGAGAATCAAGAACATCAACCTTCTCTAAGTACTTCTTCCATCTCCCCAGATGAACTGAGTTTAGCCACCTCTACACAAGTATTCATTTAGAAAGCAGTATTTTATATTAGAGACAGAAGAACTGAAAAATCAAACATGTTTATAACAGATATAACTTAGTATGAGATAGTCTAACAACATGGTGTAATGGAAAGAGTGCTGGTTTGAATAAGGAGATTTAAATTTTAATCTAAACTTTGTTGTTTATTTTCTATGCAATCTGGGGAAAAAAAACCTAAATCTATTTGGTCTCAGTATTAAGGTGATAATATTATTTATTCTTCAAACAAGGATACTTTTAAGAGTAAAAGGAGGCACTATTATAATTATGCCAGGACAACACGTGCAAGCCAAGAACTGTGGTGATCCTACTCAGTGTCACACAGATGTGAAGTAATAGTATTATTCTCACACATGCAAAAACTTCTGCTCTGTATTAAAATACGTCATTCTTGATTTAATTTGTGCTCAACAATAAGTTCTGTCCTGTAGAAGCTTAAGAAAACTGAGAGACCACTTCTGATGGTATTTGATACCATCTTTCTTCACCTTCAGAAGAAAGTCATTAAAGAGTAAGTTTTAGAGACCACCAGAAATGAAGAAAGGAGGGGGAGACTATATATAAGAAGCATGGAGAAGCAGAGAAGAGATGGAACTGAGAGAAGACAGAAAAGGAACATAAGCAGACTGAAGGTGTAGAAACAAGGGCAGAAGCAAGTATGCTTGAGAGTAGATTCGTAAGTCAAGCCCAAACAGCCCAGGACTCTTGTGTCACTCACCTAACACCGTGAGACCGGTGACCCCAATGTTCCTGCCCCCTATGTCTGGAAGGTTGTTGACCAGGCATTGGTAGGTTCCAGTATCTGATAACTGAGTGTTATTAATGAAGACAGAGACATTGGTGGCTGGCATGGTGCCTGTAAATCCTACCCTACCATGGAAACGAGGGGCACCGTCAAACATCTGTCCACCCTGATACAGGATGACCTGGAAAAGAAAGCAAAATAAATACACTGGCCACTCTATCCTCTCCTAGACACAAAACAATAACTATTTGGTAGACAGTACTAAAACGCTGCACCAAACGTTGGAAAATTTTATTTCTAATATGAGAGTTATCATCAACTTTTTTTCCAGTACTTGTTCATAGGTATCTTGGAGTTTTAATCTTTCACATACCAAATTAGAATAATATATTTTCCTTATCTAACACATCAGAACATAAAAAATGTCTTTGCTGAACCCACCCTACTATCAGTTCATAAATATTTTTACCAGTTCAAAAAATTGATTCCAAAATAAAAATTAAAAAATATTAGCACTGCCATTCTCATGCTTATTAGGTCACACAATGATAGATCATAGGTATAGATTGAAAGTAAATAAATGTCACAGAAGGGAAGTAGATTTACAAGTCCATGACTGCTGTTCTTATGTCAGCCTCTATTATCAAAGTTAAGTCTTCAGGGAAGACCTAGAATGACATAACAAAAAGCCCATTGGGCTGTGAGTGAGGGACTCAGTTGTATTCAAGTTCTACCTGTAAATTTATTTAGTAACTCTACTCAAGCTCTTTACTTCTTTAACTCCATCCTTGATTCCTAAAATAATAAGGTTGGACAAAATGATCTTGCAGGCAGAGTCTAACTACAAAAATTTTGTGAAGAAACAAAAGAAGCTTCTATTTAATTTCATATCAGAAAATTTAGCTTATCAAATATTTTGAGGTAATAATAAGCTTACTGAAGGAGAAAAGCTTCATTAACATTGTAAATAAAGGTATAAGCATTATCACAATTCATTAACTTCCTGGGCATTATTTTCTGCAGTGAGTTCTACAAATTATGTGTCTTTTTCCTGTAATTTTGCAGCTTATCGGGGAGTAGCTTCCATTTTCATGTACATTCTTTCATGTACACATTATATTAATAATTTATATGAGACTTTTTGAGCTGGCTAACATGGCTAGTCATGTTTTACTTTAAAATACTAGTGAAATTAAATTTTAAAAAATCAACCACAACCTAATGTTACTTCCTTACTATTATCACTATCTTTTAAAAGTATGCTCTCAACCATCTATGTTGGTGCCAGTCCCTTACGGTCAAAATTGCCTATTAGCAATGTTTTTGATAAAATTACAGGTTCCTACACAAAACACTCAGGAGGATATTCTTAACATCTGTTACCTTTCTAAAAAGAGGATAGCCTCTTCTGATAGTTGACTGATAAGGCAGAGGAGTAGGCCTTAAAAGAGCACACACACATTGAAAATGCCACCTTACTCTTGAAACCAAAGATGTACTCAGGATGCTTCCCTACCCACCTCCTCTGAAAAGATTAACCTTTCAGAGGTAGCGCAGGATGGAACAGAAGTACCTGTTCAGGTTGGTTGGCATTGGAGAGAGGAGTGACCATCCAAATGACATTGAGGTTAATGAGGGCAGCGCTGGTAGTGAAAGTGCAGGGCAGGACTGCTGTCTGACCCCGGGCCACTTGGATACTCCCAGGGCTCTCTGACACTTCCAAGGATGCTGCAACACCTACAGAAGAAGGAACAGGAAGGTTATATGCTTGTCCTTTCCCGATAGTCCAAACTCCTTCAGGAAGGTTTGTGTGTTTTATGTTATCACATTATTATTGATCATGTGAACAGACTGACATGATAGTCTTACTAAACAACTCCTGACCAGTCACTGAATCAAAATAATAAAAATGGTTCATCCCTTTACCTCCTGGAAACTACAATAAAAAAACATTAGAAGCTCTTTACTCTCTTTTGGAAGATGCTATCTGATATGCGGCCAGATTCAAATACGACACAGATGAATTCAACTGATGGGGTTTGATGAAAGATTAAAAATAAACTGAATTTTCGAAGTGTTGTTACATAAGCACAGTGCAAAATTAAATGTTTACATATAAATCTAACAAATCATATAAATCTAACAAAATATGTACAGCACCCATACACAGAAGAGTATACAATGCCTAATAAAAGAAATCAGTTAAGACTAAATATATGCAGAGATATGTAACGTTCATGAATTGGTAGAGTCAATCTTAAGATGCCACTTGTCCCTAAATTGATCTATAGATTCAGAGCTAGTCCAGTCAAAATCCCAGTAGTTGTTTTGCAGATATTGACAAACTCTAAAACATATAGAAAGACAAAGAACTAGAACAGCCAAAAGAATACTGAAAAACAAGAATAAAGATGAAGAATTCACACTACCTGATTTTAAAACTTGCTATATAGCTGTAGTAGAAGAGTATGGTACTAGCCTTTTAAGGATAGTCATACAGATAAATGTCACAGGGTTGAGAGTACGGAAATAAATCTTTATATTTATGGTCAAATGCTGCTCAATAAAGGTACAAGACAACTACATGGGGCAAAAACAGTCTTTTCAACAAATGGTGCTGGGATCATTTTATAGCAATATGCCAAAAATTAAATATTCTGAATACAAAATCAACAGAAAATGATCACAGACCTAAATAAAAATCAACAGAAAATGTTCATAAACCTAAAAGAATCATAACATACAAGTACTCAGCAATTTCGTTTACTAGGAATCTACTGAAGTAAAATGAAAAAGTATGTCCACACGAAGACTTGTCCATGAATGTTCATAACAGCATTATTTATAACATGTCCTGAAAAGGAAATAATACAAATATCCATCAACTGGTGAATGGACAAACAAAATGGGATATATCCATACAACAGAATACTGTTCAGAAACAAAAATCATCAAAGTACTGATACATCTTCCAACATGCATGAGCCTCCCAAAACATATTTCTCAAGGAAGCCAGATGCAAAACACTATGTAATATATGGTTCCACACATACAAAATGTCTAGAAAAGGCAAATCTATAGAGACAGAAAATAGATTAGTACCACCCAGGGATACAAAGGATGGCAAAGGGACTTGTAAATAGACTTAAAGGGACTTTTTAGTGATGGAAAACTAAAACTAGGTTCATGTGATGGTTGCACTCTGCAAGTTTAAAAGTCACTGAAATTTTTTTTTTTTTTTTTTTTTGAGACAGAGTCTCACTCTGTTGCCCAGGCTGGAGTGCAGTGGCACTATCTCGGCTCACTGCAAGCTCTGCCTTCCAGGTTCATGCCATTCTCCTGCCTCAGCCTCCCGAGTAGCTGGGAGTATAGGCACCCGCCACCATGCCCGGCTAATTTTTTTGTATTTTTAGTAGAGATGGGGTTTCACCGTGTTAGCCAGGATGGTCTCAAGCTCCTGACCTCGTGATCCGGCTGCCTTGGCCTCCCAAAGTCCTGGGATTACAGGCGTGAGCCGCCGCACCCAGCCAAAAGTCACTTAATTTTATAGTTCAAAGGAGTAATTTTATGGACTATAAATTGTATGCCAATAACACTTAAAATTCTAAAAAAGAAAACTGATTCACCAGAGCCAACTCATGGGAAATCAAAATAACTGTTATCTCTTCTGCAAAGCCTCCTCCCTGGGATGATGAAACAGTATGGAAATAACAGTAGATCAAAATAGGCCATGGAGACCCTACAAAGAAGTTATTTTAGATCATGAAAAACACATTAAGTCTGTGACAGTATCTCAAACTGTTTTACTTTGAAGTGATAGTATCTCAATTCTCCCAAAAAAGTTAACAGAATAACACACTGTTATGATTACAATTAGTTTAAAAAATAAACATACATAACACCTTCCCTCTATAGAACTTCATGTTCTTCAAATATAGTCTGATGATGTTCTCAGGAGTTAAATTTGCAGAATAAAATGTTTCATAAACTGTCTGTGATAGAATATAAAGATATTCTGTGATATATAGAAGTCTATAGAAGAAGAATGTAAAGAAGTCTGTGATAAAATATAAATTTGATGACATCAGGAAAAGTTTCTAAGATAAATAACATTAGGGGAAGTCTCTAAATTTTTAAAAAGAAATTGAAAGAACCTCAGGAATTAGTGACAGAAAGGGAAGGTTACTTGATCATGAAGCAGGCAATGAATAGAATGAGCTACCTCATAAGGTACAAGTGGGTGAGAAAATGTATTTGTTATAATGATATGATAAATTCACAATAAATGCTGATAGAGATGTTTTTAAGAATGAGTGTGGAAGTCAACTGGCGCCAGAACCTCCATCACTGCATTCTTCAGACAATACTCCAAGGAAGAGGTAAAGGAAATATGATCCCACCTTAAACTATACGGGATTGTAAGTACCTTCCACCAGCAATTCACTAATTTCAAGCTTAACTCAAATAATCTTTGATGTAAATTTTTAAAAATAACCAATATGAACTAAGAATGAAAGAGAAAGAGAAAGCAATCACAATAGGGTGAGCAGAGGACAAGGAGCTGTGCGTGACAGGGCTGGGAGCCAGGGAAGCCACAGGACTGCTGGCACAGAGCAAGCCTCTGGGGCAGCTGAAGTTGTGAAAGGCCAACTTCACTTACTTCACGTTTTTACATAAGTTCAATCCTAAATCTCACATTCTGAAATAGTTGAAGAAGAAATATTCTAGATGAGCTGCTTTCAGAACTTCAAAGGTGTAGGTTTGAAGCTGTACAGATCGGGTTTGAAATGTGGTACTTTCATCTATTTAGCTGGATGGCCCCAAACAAGTAACTTAATCTCTGAGTCAGTTGCTTCATCTGTAAGACAGAGCTAAATATTATCATCACATCATACAAGGAGTATGACGAGGGCAGTACCAGACGCTGAGAATGACCACCACCACTACAATTGCTAGCTAATAATTTTAGGTCACACTGACTACACCAAGTCCACATTAAGCTCTCTCTATATATAACATGTATTATATATATACATATATGCAAACTCATTTAATCCTATAAGGTACTTACTGACATTATTTTCATTTTACAGTAGAAAAACAGAGAATTAAAAATACAGCTCAAGGTCACACAGTCACAAAGCTAGGAAGTGGTAAAGGTCTGGCTTCCAACCCAGGCAGTTAGTCTATAAGAAACACACACTTACTACTACACATAACTCAACACACAGAAATCATTCCATATGTGTTTGTTGTTATTACTATCACCCCAACATTATATGAGGACAAAATTTAAAACCAGAATGGACTTTTACATAAAGGCATTAGAAACTCCTTCTACTTCCTGCTTCTCAATCTGCAAATCAGTCCGCCTCACCCTCATCTCCCTCTCTCCTGTCAGATTAGAGGAGTTTATCTAGGACCAACCCCGTATGTGAGCTTTAAATACCATCTGCTTGGTGGTAGTGACCTTATCATAGTGACCTTATCATAGACTGCCCCATCCCGTAACTTCAACCCCCTTCTCTGCACTGGAGACTTCCTGATAGCATTTAAACATCCTCAAGAATTTAAACTGAAAACAAAATTCCTACCTCCCTACACCCCACAGTCCTCACCAGGGAGGTCCTAGCTCTCTGATACTTCATGTTAATCTTTTTGAAAGCACTGTCTATACTCTCTCCACAGAATCTATTCCTACTCCATAGTCTTCAATCTACTTCTGCCCCAATCACTTCTTAAAAACAATTTTCGCTAGGCTTCCCAGAGACCTCCTCGTGGCTGTATGACACTTGTCATCATTCCTGGACTCTCGTAAACATCTGACAGAGATGACCCTTCCCTCCTCCTTACAACATACCTTTCTCTTAGCTTCAGTGATGTTAATATAATTCACTTCTGGTTTTCCTCCCAACTCTCTGGACACTTCTCACTTTCTCTTGCTGTTTTACCCTTTTCCACATGGTTATTAAATGTTGGTATTTCTGAAAGTGCTGACTTGATGCCTTATTCTAAACTATCTCCCTATAGAATTTCATTTACCATCATGAATTCAATTCTCATGTAAATGCTAATGGCTTTCGAATTCATATCTCTAATCAAAACCTCTCCTGCTATATCCAATTGTCTCCTAGACTTCACCACGTGGCTACCTCAAAGGTACCTCAAAAGTCAGCGTGTCCAAGATCAAACTATTCCTTTGCATGCTCACCTCCCAGATATATTCTGGCTCCTTCCTGATGCTCCCTATGATGGTGAATGGCTCAAACAGGGCCAAGCTGGGCAAGCCAGACATTTAGAAATCTGCAAGTCAATTCTGTCATCATCTCCCAAACCCAATCCATGATCAAATCTGGCACATTTTACTAACTAAATTTCTCTTGACTCCTGGAATCTGAGTCTTTACTCTGTTTCCTATCTTTCCTCTGTCTGGTTTGCTTTGTTCCAAACCTCAACTTCTTTACTTAGTAACCTACTCATAAACCCTGGCTTCTTTACTTAGTAACCTACTCATCATTTACAATAGCTCAAGTGATACCTTCTCACAAGAAAAGCCCTGACCTCTCAGTCTAGGTCAGAGTCTCACGAAGTAGTGTCAGAACACCACCAAGCTTTTAATCATACCTGGCGATTATTTAACAAATCCTCATCAGTATACTGTATGGTCTAAGAAAGCACACCACAGGAACTCAATAAATACATGTTGCTAAATTGATCTAATCCAATTCCTTCAATTT